TGACCCTCAGCTGTATGAGAGTGGCAGAGGAAATACTCCTTAATGCACTTATTCTGAATCACACTTGGAGGCTTTTCTCAGCTTTCACTCGAGCCTTGCAAACACTGCTGCCAAGCTCTGTTAAGATGCAATAGGAACCCCTAATGAAATGAGTGCTAATAGGCTCTGGCTGCCTTTTCTCATCACAGGAAATAACTGGTTAGAGTGATTCTCCCAGCTGCACCTTTTCACTGCTCAGATTATCAGCTCGGTGTAATGGCCCCTCTGGGGGAAGTTGTTTCTATGGCTCAGCTTCTTTGGAGAGGGGCTGCAATTGCTACTCAACTACTTGGATAATATGGGACTGCATCAAGTGAGCAAACTGGAAGAGGAACATGTGTAGCAGGTCTGTAGCTGTTCTAACCTCACCTCCAGATTCTTGTACCACTGTGAATGTGTAGGTCTAAAGAAACATTCATTTCTCAGAATGTCTGTTGGTCTGTCTGTGCTTAAATGTTAATTCAAGCTAAATTAGTGAGTTTAAGTAGCTGGAAGTGTTTCTGATTCAGTGTGTGGGTGTTTATTTCAAAAAAACCCGAAGTTTTCATCCTGTTAATTTAAAGTGTGTTCACTGTTACATTGATAAATACTTGGTTATAATATTTATATGTTAATACAGAGTAGTCTCAAGTCCATAATGTTTGGCCTTTGGCTTTGTAATTCAGTTGCAGCATATGCCAAAAATAGTAGTGAACTTTGAAAATACCCTTGAAATAGTAGTGATTATATCAATCATGTCTTGAAAGTATTATGCTGCCTGTTCTCCCCTTTGCAGTGAATCAGGACTGCTCTCTGTATTTTATTTTTTCTCTAGAATGTTCATTTTTGGCCTTGAATCAGTAATAGGTACAGAACAAACCCAAACTGCATCAGTTGGGCTTGAAGATGAATTCTGACTGCGTTTGTTACTCATGGAGACAGTTTGAGCAATAACATCATGGATTTATGGATTTCCTAAGTAAATCTCACTTGAGCAGTGCCTTTGTTTATAATCACAAGAGATAAATAGCCTCAAATCAAAACTGTGTGTTTTCATAAACAAACAAATGAAAAATATAAAACAGGAAAAAGGAACCTTGGAAATTCATAACAGCTTAGGGCAGGTACTTAACTGTGGAACGATGAAAGTTTCAGATTATTTATTTTACCAGATAATAAATATATTTCCATCACCATCCCAGAACAAGCAGGTATGTCCTTTTCTTGTGCACAGTCAGCTGAGTGAGTAAAAATAGCAAGTAGATCTACTTTTCACTACTGTTTTCAGAATGATGTGAATATTACACAAATTTATCTTAACTCTTTGAGGTCCTGGTCTTCCTGATAAAGTATCCACCCCTGGACTCCTGCCCCACTAAGCAACACATTGTCCAAACACTAGATTTACATGTCACAGTTTTTATGGTTTCTGTTTCAGAAGCATTTCTGACTTGACTGTGACATCCAATCCTCTCCACATCAGGCAGATTTAGGGCTACTTTGTATAGCACTGAATTAGTGGGTGGGATGGAAATGTGCTTTTATTGAAATCAGCCCTAGTGCTGTGCTGGGACCTCACCCAGTGATTTTAGGTTGACTCTAACAGGTGTAAATTGTGAGAGTGATGAATGAGCAGAGCCCTGTGCTACCATTCCAAATGCTTTTGAAATATATAATGACTGGGATGAAGAACAAAAAGATGTTTATTTTCCAAACTGATTTGAAACATCAAAAGCGATGTTTTTCTCTTTGGCATGAATCTGATAGAGCTTATTTCCATTCATCAGTGTAACATCTGACTTTAGCAGTGACCCCATTACCTACCAGCCCAGGAAAGAACACAATGAAATGTGCAGCTGAGATGCTGCACCACTGCCAGCACAGTGGGTTCACCTGTGGCTCTGGCCTTAAGAATCTACTTTAAATTTCCTCTCAATGCCTCTACCCACTTAATGTACATTTTTAACTGAACCACTTAGGAACAAGGCTGCATTTTAATCTTTTAAGCTTTAACCTTCAAACTGAGCAGAACAGCACCATTTGAATATTCTTCACAGAGATATACATAGACAGGAATTTTGATGAGTCTTTGCAGCGTTCTTTGAAAGGTGTTTCTTTCCTCTGCCTTCCACCTGAAAGTGGATTGATCAAGGGCATTGTGTTACAGTTGTCATTAAAAAAAATAGATCTGTGCCTGTACCCAGAGCTGTTCTGAAGAGGGAACAGCAGAGAGCCCTATTGTGGCTTGGTAGCACCATTTATAGTGAGATGTAGAGGCTGTGTGAGTCTCTGCTCTGCACCCTCTAAGCCACTGAATGCTGTCCAGATTTCTGTGCCTTATTTAGAAGGGATAAAATAGAATAGAATGGTTTGGATTGAAAGGAACTTTAAAGCTCATCCCATTTCACCCCCCTGCTATGTGCAGGGACACCTTCCACTAAACCTGGTTGCTCCAAGCCCCTTCCAACCTGGCCTTGGATATTTCCAGGGATGGGGCAGCCACAGCTTCTCTGGGCAACCTGTACCAGGGCCTCCCCACCCTCACAGGGAACAGTTTCTTCCTAGTATACAATCTAACTCTGCTCTCTGTCAGTTTGAAGACGTGAATCATCTCACACCAGCAGGTCTGAGTGCCTGTGCTCTTGGATGGTGGGGCAGGAAGGAAGAAGCTGTTGTGGAACAGTTGTATTTGCTGTGCCCGTGCTGGGTGTCTCAGTGCCCAGGTCACCTGGTTTCTCTTGTACTGTCTCAGAGGTTTGGAGCTGAGATTGGGCTGCATTGCCCAGCAAAGGGGCTCTCAGTGTATGTTGTGAAGCTGTATTCCTTAGTGGATTCCTTCAAAATCTCCTTGATGGTTTAAGTACAGCCAACAAACCCTGATCCCAAACTAAGCTTCAACAAATAGAACCACCTTATTTCAGTGAAGAGGTAATGAAGCTATTTGCACTAATGGTCCTAATAATGACCTTGTTTGAAGGCAGCACTCTGTGCCTGGACTTTGTTATTTGCCCATTAAGACAAATGTTGTCAATTATAAAATATTTAGACACTTATTGATGGGAAAATTGCCTGTGTAGTGCTGAATTTAATATGAAAGAAACAGAATGTGCTGTGTTGAGTTGACTTAGGAGGATTACTCATGCTCCTGTGAACTCAAATATTTGTCTTAAATATATGAGGATTTTCTAACAAGTCTTTGAGCAAATGCTAGTCCTACAGTGCTTGTGAACTGCCTAATTTTCTTGCAGAAAAACTGAATCAATAAATCCATATTAATGACACCTTTAGATGAAAAAGATATTTTCTGTCTGCCATTTCTTAGATCATCTAGGGGGAAACTGCATACAACTTGTTCAGCCCAATGCTGTTATCAAGGAAGAAACATTTCTTATTAGGAACAGATTACATGTTGGTTTAATAGTAACAACTCTGGTAGTGGTCGCATTTCACTGCAGTTCTGATCAGGGGCAGATTCTCAGATAGAAATGTTGCTCTGGTTACCAGCCTGAGTCAGGGGCTGCTCTCCTGTCCCTGCATGTGTTGTGATGTCTTAGTTCTGCTGTATGGACACATCTATAGGGTCACTGCTGGGAAATGATACTGGTTTGGGCTCTGCCAGTGCTTCTGTATCTCTTGGATGAGTCCTGACTGCTGTCCCCGAGGACTGAGGGGATTTCCAGTTTCAGGATTCCTTTCTCATCCAAGTGTTAAGGTCTGTCCCTCTGACTGCAGGGATATTTCCTTAGGGTGCAGTCTTGTTCTTCCCTCCACTTCCATGTTACACCTGGAGCTGTAGCTGTGAGTGTTCATTCAGTAACTCCTGTTGGGGGTTCAGTCCCATGGAACTGCCTCTTTCCCTTCCCAGGCTTGTGTTGGATATCATCCTGGCTTTGTGCAGAACTCTGCACCGTGGATTTCCAAAGTATGAGTTAGAGCTGAGAATCTGGAACTGGGGCTGGACAAACCCATCACCCATCTCTGTGGACAATCTGTGGGGAGGGTGAGAGATCTTTGGGGGATTTTATGGATTCTCTTCCCAACTTGTTTGCATGTGAGACTGAGAAATCTGGATTGTTTGCTCCCTTTTGTGTTGCTCTGTGGACAGAGTTTAGAATTCAAGGCCATATTGGATGGGGCTTTGAGGAACCTGGTCTAGTGGAAGGTGTCCCTCTCCTTGGTAGGGGGGTGGAACTTCATGAGCTTTTAAGTCCCTTCCAACCCAAACTATTCCATGATTCTGTGAATTAAGAGGCTTTTGCCCAGTGTTAAACTCTAATTCTAGTTTTGTGAGCCAGCCCACAGACTGGTTTGACATGATGTGGTGCTCTGATAGAAGCAAACATGGTTCTAAGTGGTCTCTTCAGATTGTTTTATTCAGCACATGGATGTTTTGCTTAAAGGCAAAGCACAGTATGAATCGGTCTTGTTTAAATCACTTTTAAAAGAGAAATAAGTAGGACATCAGGTGCAATAAAAGCTAAATACACAATAACCTGAGCAGAATATCATGGCAAACCATGCTCCAGAGTATAAAGATACAGAACAATGACAACAGGTAGAGATTTTTTACAAGTACAGTCTTTCCACACTACAGAAGGCCAGTTGTGTGGTTTCCTGTGCTGATTTCATCTTAATGTGCCACATCAGGTGTTGCAAAGTGTACAGGCTGAGCTATCAGAACAGATCTTGGTACTGCTGAACTCTGTGAGACACAGGTAAGGCTGAAAGCATTCTTTGCCAGTTGTTGCGATGTTCTCTAATTTTTACCTGAAATTGGGGAGAATTTTCATTTGTGCCTGTTCTGCTCCACAGTGATGTTGGTGTTTATTTTGTTTGGATTTGGTGGTTTTGTTGTTTTGTTTGTTTGTTTGTTTGTTTTTAGTGGTTTTTGTTTGTTTGTGTGTTTTGTTGTTTTTTTTTTTAGTTTAGCTTTTTTAAAATTTAAGGTGATGAGATTAGGTAATTGTTGGAACAGAGGAATGCCTGGAGGATGTGATTGTGGGAGGAAATGAGAACTCAGGGAATTTAGGGTGTGATCAGAGGGAAGGGAAATAGGGAACATGAGGTGGGTTAGTGCTGATGGGCAGAGTGTGGCAAGAGTAGAGGGAGAGATGGCTCTTGGCCCCTTGGCCATAGGATTGGGATGTTGGGTTGCTCCCTATATAGGTTGTAGGATGCTGAGAATCAAACACAGGCCAGTATTTGCAAAATGTGAAATGTGACTCCCCACAGCAGCCAGAGCTGGATCTGGAGCCAGTGGCAGGGAAACACCATCAGCCTGGGGGGTACCAGGACCAGGGTGTGAGTGCAGAACTGGAGGCAGAATAGGTGGGGAAGCTCTGGGCTGGATTAACTGTTCCTGACCTGACAGAGAGAGCCCCAGAAATAACTCTAATAATAATAACTGAGCAACTCCATTCAAATGAAATAGGAGGGGGAAATAAAAAAGATAGTCTTAAGTCAAATGAGATCTTTTTGATGTTTGAAAGCAATAGACAACCCTGAGGGATTTGGGATACTGCCTCTCCTAAAAGCAGAAGGTACTAGAAAGGTGCTGAATAGACTTTAGGATGGCTCAGGGTTTTCTTAGCCTGGCACTGCCTGCACTATTGCCTGTACCTGTTGCACACAAACTGAATCAGCCTCTGCTCAGTTACAAAGTGCTGTTTGAAGGCCACTGACATGGTTTATTCCTACAAAAAGCAGAGGCACAGACTAAATTACTGCAGCTGAAGTTGAGTGCTTTACATACCACTGACTTGCACACAGAGTTTGGAAATGATTGCAAAGAGCATGTTGCTTCCTTGTTCCCAGTGTCCATCCCCTGAGTTCAGGGGAAAGCTTAAGTAAGAAGAGACTGACCCATGACATTAATTTCTCAATGTATAGAAGTCCTATCTGTTATAAACATCTTATTTCTTCAGGTACTGAACTTAGCCAGATGGATATTTCTGATGACTCCATGCAGCTTTTACACAAAGCTAGATTCAAATTATTTTGCGTTTTAGTTATTCCTGATGGTCAGATCTGTGGGTCTCATTAGTGATGGTTTATCAAAAAGAGATTTCTGTGGCTTTTTATGAACAGACCAAACACTACATTGATCAGTGTATTCCAGCTTAAAAAAATAATTAAATATTCAAGGATATAATACTCCTATATTACAATAAATAATGTAAAAGCCTTCATATGAGTCAATCTTATCAGGCAGCTGTTTAAATCACACTGTCACTGATACTGTGATTCCTTTTCATTTGACTGATCTCAGTGCAAGAGAAATGTTTACTTTCACCCTTCCAAAATTGTACTCGAGTTGCTTTATGGCAAACAGCATAAATATCAGTCTGTTCTTTCATTAAAAGGTGGAGGCATGGGAGTAGGTGTGGAACAATGTTGTTACCTGTTGGGCTTTTGAATACCTTTCCACAGAGATGACTAATCGAATCTTTTAGAAAACACTGACTTGGTGATGGTGACACAAAGATAAAGCAACAGGCACAAATGAGTGGTAGGGAGAACGTTATTTCAGTCTCTAGAAGGTAGTATTCCCTTTCAGGATTTGTTTTTCCCAGTAAGTTTCTTAAGCTATTTTTAAGCCACTCTGGATTTCCTTCTGTTATAACTATTTAAAAAACTTCATATAATTCAGTTGAAACTGTTTCTCATTCTGAAAAGTATGAAACAAGGCATCATGTAGAAGGCATTTTTCTTTCCTGCACCCTTCCTTCAGGCACTGCATTAAAAGTGAGCTGCTGTATATCTTAATAATACATACATATATATACATACAACTATTGTGGGCATTTTCCACCCAAAACCAGAGGTTTATAGCATGCACTGTCCCACACTCATGCCATAACAGCAACACACTATTTCTTTGAAAGTCTTTCTCATCTCCAGACTCCGGAAAGCATAAATGAGTGGGTCAATCACCGAGTTGCACATTATCAACACCAGGTAGGTGTTGAAGTGTGAGGTGTAGCAGATGCAGTATGGATTCATCGGGCAAGAAATGATGAGGATGAGGTGGAGGAAGAAAGGTGCCCAGCAGACAATGAAGACACCCAGCAATATGGTGATGGTGACAGCTCCCTTCATGCAGGTCCTCTGGTAGGGCACCCCTTCCACGGGCAGGGCTGCGATTCGCTTCACGTGCAGGCGGGCGAACAGGAACATGTGGACATAGAGGGAGGCCATGAGGAAGAGCATGGTAAAGAACATGGTGATGAGACACACAATGACAGTTTTGCTCTCTGAGTAGGCAATGAATATGATGCCACAGATGATACAAGCAATCCAAATGACCACAATCAAGGTTAAAGCTTTCTTCACAGTCATGATGCTGTGGTAACGGAGAGCATAGAAAATAGTTATGTACCTGTCAATGGCTATAACCAAGAGGTTGCAAATTGAGGCTACCAAAGAAATACAAATCATTGAGTCAAAAACATTGTCCATGTGCTGGATGAAGTGGTCATCAATGATCAAGTAGCCGTTGCTCAGGATTGCAATCATGACAGTCTCCAGGGCGTTTGACATGCTCACCAACATATCTGCCACAGCCAAGCTACAAAGGAAGAAATACATGGGAGAATGTAGGTTTCCATTCTTCAGCACTGCAAGAATGACAAGGATGTTTTCCAGGAGGCTGATGATCCCTAAAGTCAAGAAGACCTCTGCTTTTATGAAGACCTGCTCGCAAAATCCATCGCCACTTCTGCTGTTCAGAGTGGAGTCATTGAAGTCTTCGGTGACATTAAGCTGCACAGGCTGAAATGAAAATGCAGAGTGTGTGGTATTCATTGTCAGCAAAGGAGTTGAATTCACAACTGATTATGGACCTGCTAGAGCACAGGTTAAAAAGAGAAAAAAAGGGAGGAAAAAAAAAGAAAAAGGAAAACAAGTCCTTCCAAGCTGCTGCTGTGCATGTGGGGTGGAATCAAGCTGGACTTTTCTTTGGTCACTTTTACAAGTGGAAACATAAAAAAAATTATGCATTTACAGTGAGTTTTATGTCAGTCATACACTGCTTTTTCCTGTGTGAGACAGTGAGCTTCAAACCTCGCAGGCATCAAACAGTTTTCTCCGCAGGGAAAAATCGGCAGCAGCACATTGCTGGTTTTAGCTCTCCCGGTGATTAAAAGTAGGGAGTTTTCCAGTCTGCTGGGGCAGGTTTGTTGCCAGCATGTTGCAGCTCAGCGAAGTATCTGTTGCTATTTCGGTGGCAAGAATGGAAAAGAGAACTAAGGGATTTATACGTGCACGAAAGAAAAAACAACTCCTACTTCACCCTCCGTGCAGAGCATTGGCCATTCCAGAGCGAGCACCTTTGTGACTGACAGCCACAAGCACCTGGTGCAGCATCCCCAGCACATCTGAAACCGTCTGGCGCCCTCTGCAGACACCGAACGGGAGGGATTGGCTTGAAAATTCCTCTGAAAAGCGGGATTTTCATTCAGCAAAACTTTATGCCTGTTCTGGGCATCCGGGTCCTGCCCAGGGGAGGGATGGATCGTCCCTGCACCTCTGGGCACCTGCACTCGAAGACACATCTCTGATGGAGAAGTGAAACATGTGCTTTTCCTTTCTTTACTCTTTCAAAAAGACATTTTCTCCCCAACCACTGCTTTTACTCACAGGATCCCACTCTGACTTATCTTAACTGGGGTTGTACTGATTTAAACCTATGAAGGACCAGGGAGATTTTCATTTGTCATTAAGTATAAAGTAGATTTTCCTTGCACTTTATTCATTCTATGTCTCTCTGGTGAATTTTCTTAGTTTGTTTTTTTGATGGCATCTGCTGATGTCTGAATACTTCACAACTCGTGCTTTTGAGAAGTATTTTAAAGTCAAAGCCAGACAATATCACTTATAAGAATGTTTGAGGCTTGTCTTAGAGCTCAAAAAGTCACACGTCTTTTCCAGTTTCCTTCTGAGCCCACAGAATTACTATCATGCACACATAATTCAACAGCAAGATGTAACAAGTCTCAAATTCAACCTCCACGTGATCATTTTACAAGGACAATATTCAGTGCAGTAATTTTAAGTTGAATAAATGGCTGGGGACTTGCTCACCAAGTTATACAGTTAATGTTTTAAAGATCTTAATTGGTCTCTCCCTAAATTCACAGTGGTGTATTTTAAAGCAGATATCTTAAAAATATCTTAAAAAACGTATAGCAGCAAGCTATCTCCCCCATGCCCCTAATCTCATAGTAGGGAAAAGATATTCCATCTGTCCAAGTGTCTGGATTTAAGTCTTGAGCAGCTCTCTCTGTTTTGAGCTTCAGTTCCTGGTTTCCAGCTTTTTTGAGCTGATAAAGATAGTGATTTTTAGACATAATAACTATCACTGCCCTTGGAAATGTTGTTTTGCAGCTGAGCAGGAGCCCAGCAGGAGCAAGGCTGGGCAGATGTCCCTCCCTGCCAGCTCTGTCCTCGTTTACTCTCTTTTGAAGTGGCAGGTGGAGGCTGTGTCCTCCCAGGGCAAGCACAGGATCCAAAGGTTCCCATCCATGCAGGAGAGCTCTCCCTGCAGGGATAACATCCTTCTGGGCTTGGCTCTGGACTACCTGCTGGTGGAGGGGCACTTAGGTTTGAGGCACCCACATACACACCAATTTACAGGAGTGCTTTGCCATTTACATTCCAGTCCTGTGCTGCCCATCTGGACAGTCTCAGCAACATACTGTGATAGTCCTGTAAATCTCCCCTCCAGAATGCTCCATCCCTTGATGCCACACTGTCTCAAAAGACTACTACAGATTTTCCCAGCTTCAGCTGAGAGTAAGAAGTCATTAAATGCGTTGCATCATAAATTTCTGAATATATCTGACAGGAGGAATCAAGCTACCATTTACTCTGAGATGCAATTTGAAGTGGAAATTGAATGTTATATACCAAAGTGGATTAATGGCACTATCAGCTTTGCCATTAAATGCTAAAAATAGTGGGCTAGAGCCTCATGTATCTGATAGTAAGCTCAAACTGACTCTGAGATCTTTGCAAAAATGGGAAAAAGTTGCTTTTGCACAAAAGACAGCAACGTGTGAGCCCTTATTTTCAAAAGGTGTAAGGGGATTTCTCTGCTCAGCATTGGAAAACCTACATGATCTGAGATGTCACAATATATTTTGCAACCTATATAACAATTTGCTGCCCCTCAGCTGTCAGTTCCTGCCTCATTGCCAGAGATAGGGGTAGTGACTGTGACTATTGCAGTGCCAAACAGGGTGGCAGTGGATTTGTGTCCTGGACATTGCTACACTGCACCTGAGGGGTGGCAAATCACTAAAATGATGTTACACATTCATGTCCTCAAGCTCCCAGACAGAGAAAACCACTTGTCTTGAGTAGGGGAGCAGAGCTGTAGCAATTGCTGCAATCCAGGGCATATTAAATGAAATAGTAACTTGGTTTAGGTCCTCCCTTCACCATGACCTGGTGAAGAGAAGATTGGAGAGTTAGGGGTGTGAGATGTCTGTGTGTACTCCCCCAGTTTTGCCTTGTGTGTAGCCCCTTCCACCTCTTTTCCTAAGGCCTCAAGGGGAAAACCTGCAGCCTGGGATGTGCTCAGGGCTGTTGTCAGTGCAGATGCAGGATGGAACTCTTGCAGGTTGGGTGGGACCAGTCAAAGTTTTGGATCTCTGGGTTTGCTGGATCGTGGTGAGTCAGTAAGCTTGTGATACTTCAGAATGTTTCCTTACAACTCTGTTAATGTACGGGAAGTCCCATCTTCTATTTTAAATCAGTGACTAAAATACCCTTCTCACCTCTTGTCTTGGGCTCAGCAGTCCATCACTGATGTTCCTGTGCTCAGCCTTCTCTCCAAGTATTGTGAGAGTACATTTATTTGACACCAAGAGCAGGGTCCTATTTCAGCTGTGCTCTTGTTTATTCCCTGCACTCACAATATAAACCCGCTGTTGAAAACACCAATATAGCCTTTTAATCCCATGGTGTGCTGAGTGAGAGAACTCCTTGGTTGCTGTCCCTGTAGTTGTTACCAATTCTTTAGCTTGGATGGTTCAACTGAGGAAAACACTCTTCTGTGCTTTTATAAACAATAATTTAACCCCCCCCCAAATAAAAATTTTTAGCAGCTTGAAGGCCAGATTGAGAAAATGAACAATGAATTTATTATGAAAATATCTCACTAATTGTGGAGCCATTTCGACTCAATCAGCACCAGCATTTTCTTAGAACCGTATAGTGGTTTGGGTAGGAAGGAACCTTAATGCCCATCTCATTCCACCCCCTGCCACATGCAGGGACACCTTCCATTTGCCCAGGTTGCTCCAAGCCCCATCCAACCTGACCCTGGACACTTCCAGGGATGGGGCAGCTTCTCTGGGCAGCCTGTGCCAGGGCCTCCCCACCCTCACAGGGAACAATTTCTTCCCAATATCCTGTCTAACTTTACTCTCTGTCCGTGTGAAGCCATTCCCCCTTGTCCTGTCACTCCGGGACCCTGTAAATAGTCTCTCTCCATCCTTCTTGTAGCTCTTTTGTGTCCTGAAAGACCGCAGTTAGGTCACCTCAAAGCTTCTCTGTTCCAGGTTGATCAATTCCAATTCTCTCAACCTTTCCTCACAGCAGAGCTGCTCCAACCCTCTGATCATTTTGGTGCCTCCTCTGGACTCACTCCAGCAGGATTTTTGCATCTCAGCCTGTTCATGTCTCAGCTTTGGCTGTGCCAGACCCTGCCTGGGGTCTGCAAGGCAACTGGACAGACACCCACAGGTGTCTCTCCTCACTACACTGTACCTGTGCCCAGATTTGACAATATTTAGTGGCCTTTTCCTTTTAGAGTGAGTTTAGAGCAAAATGGATCTTTGCTGTTCTGTGTTCTGGGCTACTGATTGGAGCTCTTGCCAGGAAAGTGCAAGATCTAATTTCCATTCCTTTTTTTTACCTGAAAAGATGAGACAGCTTATCTTTTCATATATCATCAGCACAAGCCTGGATTTGTCAGGGGTTTGCCCTGTACTTTCACTGCTCTGTGAACCAGCAAACCATTTCATTACAGCATCCTCTGATACACCCTTGCCATCATATTTGCTTATCTGCCGAGGTCAGGGCTCTTCTTCCCTATCTGAGGCTTCCAAACTTAAAATTATTATCTAGTCTGAGAATCTGGTACTGAAAGTTATGTGTGCTTCATATTGAGCAGATGGATCTTTAGAAAATTTATGAGAGTCCTCAAAAAAATGTCAGGACAACCCATCCCAAGCCCATATAGATGAAATGGGCTAAATGCAGAAATTATTGGGATGTCTCTTACTGAGGATGCTTTTGTTCACATTCTTCCCTAAGGAAAAAAAAAGCTGTAAATAACAGGATATCAGCACAGTTTATGTAATACTGGCTGTGATGAAGGCAAAGATCTAGCTGTTTAAGCTACCAGCAGAAATGACCAATTTTCCTTGGTGAAACCCTCTGTTGTGTTTTACAAAGCAGTTAATATTGTAAAGCTTCTTTTTTTTTTAGTGTTGTTATTACTTAGTTGTTTCATCACTAGTGAAACTATTTAATCTTCAGGGAAAGGTAAAGTGAAAGTAACATTTACTGCTAAATGTGGATAATGGAGCTTTCTCAGAAAATTCCCTTGTGAGGTTGTTGAATGAAAAATCCTGTGTAATGCTTGACGTGAGATTAAGCTGATAATGGTAGATAAATGCATGTCACTTTCCTTTATTTTCACTCTTTTCCCACAATAGTTTGTGGCAGATAAAACTGGAAATTTTGAAGGAAATTAGAGCATGGTTGCTTCCATGTGTTTGCTCCCATGCAGCAGGTATTTAATACTCTCCTGTAGTTCCAAGTAGACAAAATAGTGAGTGAAAAACTCTTGAAGACCTCTGCTGTTTTATTCTTTATAAAAAAGGACTTAACAGATTGAATATTTAATCTTAGCAAAGTAAAGTGTGCTGGGTTTGAATTCTGTGCACATTTCAGGAGTGTTTTGGTTTGGAATATCTGTAAACATGTGCTTGAATTCAGCATCTGGGCACTTCAGGATGGTTGCTTAACTCTCTGCTGACCTGCAGAGTTATTCAGTGCTGAAGAGCTGCCTTGGTAGAGTTTAAGTTTTTGATAATAGAACACTTGACAAATGCAGCAAATGATATTTCAGATCTTCTTCACCTTTTAACTCATGAATTGCTTGAGTATTGACTTAGTTCAAGAGAAAAACCTGTTTACTATTTTTCA